CGCCTCTGCTGCCGTGCCCCTGCGGGCTGACCCGGCCGGCTGGGAGGGGGAGGGACCCGATTCACAGAATCACAGAATCACAAGGGTTGGAAGGGACCTCGGGAGATCATCTAGTCCAACCTCCGTGCCTCCTGGGCCATCCTGAAGCCCAGCGGCAAGGGGTGAGTGATGGTGAGGGACGGGTGCTTGCTGAGGCTGCAGGTCCTCATGCTGGCTGGCAGGGGCGTCCTTGTCACTCCGTCTGGAGGACGTGTCCTACAAGAAATGCCTGGTGGCAGGGACAGGGGCAAAGCAGGGGTGTGGGGTGATGGAAACGCGCTGGCGCCTGTCAGGAGCTCTGGCTGTAGGGCAGTGCTGGCCTCCTGAACAGAGAGTGTCCTCTGGGACTGCGACCAGGGCGGCTGTGCGGCAGTGGCGGTGACCTAGTGGGTTCCTGATCCTTTTGGCCTGATCTGGGCTGGGCAACACCCGGACGCAGCCTGGCTCCTGGATGCAGCAGCTCCTGGCGCTCGTGGAGCTGCAGCCTCTCCCAGAGCCACTGCGGCCACGAGCTCGGGCTGCGGGGATGCTGGCAGCGTGTCCTCAGTCCCGAAGGGTCCGGGCGGTGCTGTGAGCACCGTGCCAGCGCCAGGGCGGGGAGCGTGGGCTGAGGGACCCCCAGCCCTTGGGGGTGTCGTGCACACCGGCTGTGGCGGGGCGGTCTGCAGGAGCTGCTCCTCCGGCCCCGCGCGGGGAGGCTCGCACCCGGCACCTCGGGCGGGTCAGCACGGATCACCGCGAGAGGCGGCTGTTGCGGGCCGGCCCCGGAGGAGCCACGCCGTGGGTGCACGTGTCCTGCTCGGGGCGCTCGCAGGAGGTCGGGGCTCGCCGGCTCCTGGCCCGATCCCGCAGCAGTGGCACACGGAATCCCACTGCCCCAGTGGGGCTGCCGCGACTGTCGCTGCTCCCCGAGTCAGGGGACAGGGGTTGGCACAGGACGCAGCCGTGGGTCACCGGAGCTCCTCTGGCCATGGCTCCCCCCCAGCTCGATCCTCGGCTTTAATTCTGCTTCTTCTTGTCTTTCCTCTGGCTCCTCTCCTTGTACTGCAGAGGAACAGCAGAGAGGTACAGTACCGCACCCCAGCATGCCCGTGCTCCCCGCCTCCCCTGGCCCCCAGAAGTGCATGCCGGGGGGGGACTGGCGTCCCAAGGCACCTAAGCATGGCCCTGGGACGGGGCTTGGTTTGGGCACAGGGGGAAGGACGCAGGTCCCGCTGGAGGGCAGCGCTCGGCTCCGATGCCACGCAGCCTGTGGCGCAGGGGAGCTCGTGGCTGGTGCGCTCCTGGTCAGCACCGGGACTGCAGGAAGGGAGTGACGGGCATGACACCGCTGGGGGTGCAGAGCGGTGACTCCCGCAGTGGAGGGACGGGGTCCCTGGAGCGCCCAGAGC